AACTGTCAATACAGACTTACACTACACATCAACTTCAAACTTTACATGCACTGGAAGCGGTAACCAACGTCCTCTTAAATTTTGAAGAGTGAATATAAAACGTTTAAATATTTTGATATGGAGAGTGTATATGTCTCTGACGTCATCGATACTATTTCCGCCTTTATCTCGAAAGTTCTATTCTCACTTACAAGTCAGAGTTATCTTTCTTTGCCCATTGTCTACACACTAGGTAAATAGGGGAAATGACGGTACCGAAAATCTGCAAAATGTGGAATCTGATTTCAAAACAAATTATATATTTAGTATTTGTAGAATAACCTCTGTTATACATAATAATATCTTGAAAAAATATTAAAAAACAAAAAAGTTGAAAATTGACCAAACACAAGTTCACTTCCGGTTCGGACAGGAAGTACCGGAAACACACGAAAACAACTTCGAAACAAAGAGAATGTCATGATCTAATACTCCTGTAAATTTCACATCTTTACCTCAAACCGTTTCCGAGAAAAATTCCGGACAAAAGTCCATTTAAAAATTGGAGATTCGGCCGTAACTTCGGACCGGAAGTGAATTTTTCAAAAAACGGAATTTTATATAAACTTCATATATCAGCCTACTATCATGTGAAAAATTGTGAAAATCTATCCAACCATCTCTGAGTAATCGCGCTCACAAAATTTGGGAGGAATAATAATAATAATAATAATAATAACTAGACTCTTGTTGCCATGGCAACAAAAAAGTCTTCCGTTCTAAATCTGTAAGAATTTGCTTTTTTCGGTGTAAAAAACATACATATCATATTTACTGTGAAAGAAAAAAATAACTGGAAAAAAGTCCTTTCAGTACTTAAGGTACTTTGATTTTCATGATCAATCTTGTATACTGCGTTTGGCACCTATAAAAGATATACGAATATCACAGAGCAAGGATAATTAGCAATTAAAAAAAAAAATGTTTTCAATCATTTCTAAGACAAATAAACAGACGAACAAACACCCTACTATCATAAACTTCACTGTGTATACGTTCTGGCATAATTGTGATGGTGTTATAAAATAAATATAATGAATTAAGTTAGTATCACATTAAACGTAAAGTCACTGAGCTTTGTAAAGTTATAATATCAAGATTTGAGAGCATACCTATAAGAAAGATTATTCAGTTACAGTAATTATTCAGCAATCGATTGATTGATTGATCATATGTTGTTTAACGTCCCTCTCGAGAATTTTTCACACACATGGAGACGCCACTACTCGCCGGTGGAGATTTAAAATTTTTGTCCTATACTTTTGCACTTTTCGCCATTGAGCAGTGAGGAATCTTTTTTGTGCCAGCACCTTCTGCGACACAGGACCTCGATTTATGCGATCTCAAAGGACCGGTCTCCACGTCCCACAATCGAAGTTCATAATACCAAGATGTTTTATTTTTTATTTTATTTTATATTTTCACAAGTTTGTTGCATCAGATTTACTTAAAGATCATACTTCAAGATCATTTCGAACTCAGGCTACTTTATTGCACTGCATGGAGCGTCAAGTGATTTTGATTGACAGGTCAACACAAGTGCACTTCGTGCGATACTTTTTAAGCAGAAAAATATACAGGATGTGACCATGACTGACTGTGAAATCAGAAAACATTTAATAAAGAATGGGTGTGACTGATATAGAAATATATTTGGGTCTATGTAAATGGATAGGAGGATCGGGATTAAGAGGGAATCTCTCTCTCTCTCTCTTTCTCTCTCTCTCTCACACACACACACACAGACATGTAAATTGAACATTTCAGTATCAAAATGACAAATGTACCATTATAGAATATGAAATTCTGTACACATGACATGTAAATGGTAATTATAACCACGTTCCAGATTTAAATCTAAAACGAATATATAATTCAAATGCCTAGCTGCACGAACGTCTCCAAATATTAATCAAGACCGGGGGTGGGGGGTGGGGGTGGGGTCAAAGGAATTAGATAGTTTTATTTTTTATGAATTATAAGGAAAAGTAGGGACGTCAGTTGCATGTATATAATTATATATCATTGCATAAAATTGTGCTCATTCAGGTATACTTATCCCACATATCAACAGACCTGTGCAATTTTTTTTATCATGTTTTTTTTTTTCAAAAGAAACATATAGCGTAGCATTATTTCACACAGAATTGCGTTTTCACATATTTTTTTTTTAACTCTTTGAGTATTTCACAAGAATCCAAGAATCGCCTTTTCACATCTTTTATAACTCCTTGGGTATATAGAGTATAGATCATGTGTCATAAATAATTAAACTTTTTATCAAATATACATGTAATAAACAAATCTAATCTATAAATTGATTTTCTTTCTTTTAAGAGGCAGATATCAATTTATTTCCAAAGGCTTTAAAACATTACTGTATTACGATTTTCTATCGCTCAGTTCCTTTTCGAGTGTATGTAATATTTTTTAATATTGAAAATAATACTCGGAAATCGGGATAAATTCGCATTCAAATAATAGAGAATAATAAAATCGTCTGATTATAGGAGGCTTAGTAACTATCTTATAAATATTCTGAACTTACTACTATACCAGATAAATAAAACTGCATGCCTGTCCATCACTATAAATGTATATTCAGTGCTTATAATATATTTACTTGAATTAGCTACCTAGCATATATAGTATTTTTTTTTTTTAGAAATATACATGTGTAAATCAATTAACTGTCAATACAGACTTACACTACACTGGTAACTTTAAACTATACATGCACTGGAAGCGGTAACTAACGTACTCTTACATTTAGAAGAGTGAATATGGAACGTCTAAATATGTTGATATGGAGAGTGTATATGTTTCTAACGTCATCGATACTATTTCCGCCTTTATCTCGAAAGTTTATTTCTCACTTACAAGTCAGAGTTATCTTTCTTTGCCCACTAGGTAAATAGGGAAAATGACGGTACCGAAAATCTACAAAATGTGGAATCTGATTTCAAAACGAATTATATATCTAGTATTTGTAGAATAACCTCTGTTATACATAATAATATCTTGAAAAAATATTAAAAAACAAAAAAGTTAAAAATTTACCGAAACACAAATTTACTTCCGGTTCGGACAGGAAGTACCGGAAACACACGAAAACAACTTCGAAACAAAGAGAATGTCATGATCTAATACTCCTGTAAATTTCACATCTTTACCTCAAACCGTTTCCGAGAAAAACGCCGGACAAAAGTCCATTTTAAAATTTAAAATTCGGCCCTAACGTCGGACCGGAAGTGAATTTTTCAAAAAACGGAATTTTATATAAACTTCATATATCAGCCTACTATCATGTGAAAAATTGTGAAAATCTATCTAACCATCTCTGAGTAATCGCGCTCACAAAATTTGGGAGGAATAATAATAATAATAATAATAATAAAAAGAAACAATACAATCACTATAAGTCTTCCGTTGTGAACGGAAGACTTAATAATAAAAAGAAACAATACAATCACTATAAGTCTTCCGTTGTGAACGGAAGACTTAACTAGACTCTTGTTGCCATGGCAACAAAAAGGTCTTCCGTTCCTATATGATACCGTTTGCATTGTTTTTTTATGTAGAAAAACGTGTACAGTATGTAATAATTAAGTTGTAAAGAATCTAAAATTTGTCCTTTCGGTACTTGCAGTTCATTGATTTTTACTGCAAAAATGAATGTATTTGTTGTCCTTTTATATGAAATTGTATGCATGTTTTTATTCATTAGTAGAAGCGAATTAAACTGTTTTTAAATTTAAAAGTTAAATTGGGGGGGGGGGGGGTCTAGAAAACAACCTGTCAGTTCTTACAGTACTTTGATTTTCACTACTAAAATGAAAGTATCCACCGTCCTCATATATAAACATAATAAATTATAAAACATGTAGTGTGGAATTGAATTTTGCATTTAGAGAAGCATCTATATGTAAGTCAAAGTAAAAAAACAATACTTAATATCTTTTCAGTCCTTACGGTACTTTGATTTTTATTGGCTAATGAAAATAGCTTCCATAGGTAACTTATTGTATGCATTGATTTTTATGTATAGAAAAACATGCCTGTTTATACTACACTGTAGTTAGAAAAAAATTGGGTATCTAAAACAGTCCTCTCAGTACTTCAGGTACTTTGATATTTACTGCAATTAAATGTAGTCTTCATTCTTATATATGATACTGTATGTATTGATTTTTGTAAGCAGAAAAACATGTAAACATAACCTTCATGTAAGATAAAGTAAGAAATGCCCTTTCAGTACTTTCAGTACTTTGATTTTTTAAACCAAAACGAAAGTAGCTGAAATCTACAAAACGTGTGATCTGATTTCAAAACAAATCATATATTTGGCACTTATGGACCTATCTCTATTAGACCTAAAAATATCTTGAAAATATATTTAAAAACAAAAAAGTCGAAAATTGACTGAAACACAAATTCACTTCCGGTTCGGACAGGAAGTTCAAAACACAAACGAAAATCACGTAGAAACAAAGATAATGTCATGATCTATTATTCGTGTAAGTTTCACATCTTTACCTCAAACTGCTTTTGAGAAAAACACCGGACAAAAGTACATTTTAAAATTTGAAATTCGGTCATAACTTCGGACCGGAAGTGAATTTTTCAAAAAACGGAATTTTATATAAACTTCACATATCAACTTATTATCCTGTAAAAAATTGTGAAAATCTATCGAAACATCTCTGAGTAATCGCGCTCACAAAATTTGGAAGGAATAATAATAATAATAATAAAAAGAAACAATACAATCACTATAGGTCTTCCGTTGTGAACGGAAGACCTAATAATAATAATAATAAGAAACAGAGTAAAAACAATATGTTCCCAAACTTCGTTTGGGGAACATAATAATAATAATAATAAGAAACAGAGTAAAAACAACATGTTCCCAAACTCCGTTTGGGGAACATAAAAAGGAAAAGAGAGAGGAGGGTGATAACCTTCTTCACAGTTAGCTCCACCCACTATCTCTAGACAAGAACATTTGTTAGGCGCCACGCAAGTCCCTCCATTCTGGCAAGGGGTGGGGCAAATTGCTAATAAAATGAACATTGCATTTTAATATTAGATGAACTATAAAGGATATTTAAGGGAATATGAATAAAACTACTACACAATAATGATTGTATAACAACATTTACGTGTCTCGCAGTTAGTGCCGCTGTAACCCTGGCAACATTCCTCAACAAGAGTATAAGACACTTTTTGTCTATATCCCGTTTGCTGACTGATAGAGATAGAAAGAAAATATATTAACATCAGATTGATACCCTAAATATGGAAAGAAATACTAGAAAAAAATTAACAATCAGGAATTTACATTAAAGGTCGTTTAATAAATAATTCTGCGTTCTGACAATGTGATTTTAGTTGAAAATATGGTTGATGTATTTTGGAAAATAGAAAACTCTCACCAGTTTCGTACGGAAGCCGGTAGGTGCCAGGTAGAAAAATATTTTATCTGGCGGCCGCCAAATAAGTTTCTGGCGGCCGCCAGATAAAAAGATCTGGCGGCCGCCAGATAAGTTATCTGGCGGCCGCCAGATAATTATTTGGCGGCCGTCAGATAAGTTATCTGGCGGCCGCCAGATCTTTTTATCTGGCGGCCGCCAGAAAATTATTTGGCGGCCGCCAGATAAAATATTTTTTCTACCTGGCACCAACCGGCTTCCGTAGTTTCGATATATACAAAGAGATATATTTTTATACATTACATTATTACATTACATTAAAAGTTGCTGAGCTAACATTTCATGAATATTTGTCATCGAAAGACCTCAGACTCGGTAACCATAAAATAACATAATGTCTAACAACTGATATGAAGCATGTCTGTCAAAATATGGCCAAACGATAAGTTGTATATAGACTCGAATTCTGTGAACGGTGAACTATTTTTTTTTTGTTTTGAAATACAGTAAAACACGCTTATAGCGAACACGCTTATAATAAATTGTCGCTTACAGCGAAGCTAGTGATTTTCATTCCCCATGACTTTTAACTATATTGTTATAGTAATGGATATAACGAATTACGTCTATTACGAATCAAAATCATCTGTCCATGGCACTTCGTTATAAGCTTGTTTTACTATATACGAAAAGTTCAAGTGAAACGTTGAAGGTAAAGAACATGATAAATCTCATGGATATTTCAAACAATACAAATTGTGAAAAGGCAAAAACATGGACTCCTGGAATCAACACTAGAATTTGGATCAAAGTAAACATCTCCCGTTGACTAGTCACACCCTCCTTGATTCCTGTATGTTGGTCAGCTAAACAGTGTATTCCGTAGTTAAAATCAATAATAAAAACAATGTTATAACAATTCTATCAAACATGTCAAAACACGATCCTACAGAAATTTGTATTTGCAAACGAGGTCATTATAGCTAGAAATTCAAAATGCTGACTTTAAAGTCATATTTGGAGTATTTTTTAAAAGTTCAGACGAACTAAAATTAAAAGGATCTTTCTATTTGTTTTGTTATTTTATATAAAGATAAGATTTTCCTGTAAATTGCACAATTTAAATCAATCACGTTTCAAAAATATTAGAAATTTAAAACAATAACCGATTTATTTACCGACTCCGCATTTAATTACAGACACGGTTTAAAATCAATTTAACTATGGAAACATGAGATTATTCAAGTTCAAAATCAGTGAAAATTTTGATTTTAACATAAATAGCATATATCATGTTTATTTACACTCAATCTCGTATTTTTATTTTTAGCTCAAATACGGCATATATAACTTTTTAAGGTATCCGACCCATAATAGCCTCGGACTCAGTGAATCTGAATGTATAACAGATATATATTGGCTGAATACTCAGTATATGTGGACATAATCTTCATGTTTTAGTATCAATATGTAAGAGCGGAATGCGTCCTAATTTTTGACCTTGTCCTGTCCTTGAAGAGTTATTCCCCTTTGCTTTTAATCAATAAAAAATCAATTCTAAAAAAATCTATCCGGTAAAACTTTTGTTTTCAATCGCTTTTCTATTCTTTATAATTAAATATATCTTTCCACCACAGCATTTTTTGATATTCTTAGTATTTAAAATTTTATTTTCAAAAATTTGCTTGTCCCCATAGACATCAATACAATCTTCATTAATTAATTACTGCTTAGGTAATTATATTTTTGAAAATTTCTCTTGGTAAATCCTTTACTACTCTAAAATGCTTTGAATCAATATCAGAGTATTCAATACAGGATGGATATTTAAGGTAAGAAAACTAGGTCCTAATATGGGTCGGATACTTTAAATGAGATTGGAGAAAGGCCTATAAAATTAAACTCATAGTTGAACTTTGGTATCTCGAATACCATTGATATGTCAAAGTCAATTTGAAGTCCCAACCGCTTATTCCTTAAGTATTTTATCTAGGACATCTCGAATCATCGGATATGTCGAAGTATTTCCTCGGTCCCTTCGAGTTCGAGTTAACGAGGTTTGACTGTATTTGTCTACAGACTGCCCCAGTTTAAAAACTTATTGTACTCGGAGCATATGGGAGACATAAACACCAAATGCAGAAGAAGGTGGAATGTTACAGCTGACGATGGAAAATCTGAAGTCGCACCGTTCATCATATAGTTAGTTGTTAGTCGGCTATTAACGTTTATAGGTTATGGCCAACTAAAGTCAACTGTAACTAAAGTTATGCTATTGATAAAACCGTCGTATATTTACAAGCAACGTATTTCACTTGATTTATTTTCATTATTCGATGCGGTAAAGTTTGTTTTCATGAAATGTTTTTTTTTTATATCTCAGTAATCTATTTCTCACCACCACCACCCTACAGTTCTGGCACAGTACTCCTCTTGACGAAAGATCGCCAGCTGCTTCGTGCATTTCTTCCTACAAATAAATAATGGAATAAATCTTCCATACTTAAAACTTTCTGTTTTGTCGATTGAATTGCTTGCTGATTGATGTTGCATGTAAAAAAAAAAAAAAAAAAAGAAAAGATAAATAAAAATGTTCAACCTTCAAATATTATATTCAGGCACGTAGTGTCGGGGGGGGGGGGGGGGGAGGGGGGAGGAGGGGGTTGAAAATATTTATTGAAAGGTAGCCCCCCTTCCCATCCCCACTTTTTGTTGCAGTATACAATGTATTAAAATAAGTTATTGATGAAATCAAATTGAAAATCAAAATAATATAACCATTGTATATTTACAAGCAACGTATTTCACTTCAATTATTTTCCGTTTATCATTTTTCAATGCGGTAAAGTTTTTTAATGAACTGTTTCTGTATTATTCATAGGCTCTACGTACATTCTTATACGAGATCTAAAAGTAATGTCACAACTGATATAAAATCTTTAACAAAAATTTTCAACAAAACTTTATATATTTATACCTCAATCTATCTTGATCTAAAAATTCATTCAGATAAACACAATACTAAAAAAAATATTAAATTAAACACAACGTTGGATCTCGTCTATCGCCGCACGAAAAGAATGTATCGACGTCGTTATGACGTTTCAAGATTCAAGATTTACGCAAAAAGGAATGAAGTTAGATATAATATTTGGACAAAGGTCAAATGATTTTAATAGTACAACTCAAACATGACTGTTTAAAACAAAACAGTAGTAACGATTATTAAAACATAGCACGTGAGAGAATTAAAAGATATGCGGATGAACTGACACTGAGTGCCGAAAAGTATACGCCCTAACGACGTCGGTAACATTATTGCAGTGCGGCGATAGACAAAACACAATGGGGTTTTTATCTTAATATTTTTTTTTTTAAAAATTATTTTATATAATTGAATGAAATTTTAAGGCAAAATATAAAACATGTAGATAGGGGGTATTAATATGTTAAAGTTTGCTGATAACATTTAATTATTAAATATTTTATATCAGTTGTGACATGTATTACTTCTGGATCAACCCTCGTATGTTGCATGGATATTAAAGGGCAGAGGTTTCCAGAAGTTATCTTAATCATCTGGTTCTAATCCTGACCTAATCACCTATCATAGTATCAAGGTAAGTTTAGAACATGCTCTTCATAAATACTCGTATATGTTATATGAAATGTAAAGTTGTATACTAATAAGCTTCCATCTCCCCTCACGTGCTAGTCGGCAGGTGATGTATATTTGCGTAATAATTCGAATAGATAAACACAATTGCAAATTTAACAATAGTTCCCAAAACCATCTATAAATAACAAATTGTTCACATGTTACTTATAAGGAACTAGGGGTCCTATTTCCTACCAAACATTAACCTTAAATAATGATAATTTATGCTCTTTTTCTCCAACGCATTTCTAGAGGAAGTTTTTTTTTTAAAAATAAAACTTAAAATACATACCACTGATCGAGAAACACCACTGCTAGGGAAAGTACAAAATGTTTTCCCATAACTTTTTTTCTTTGCCATTTTTTTTCTCTAGAATGACGTCAATTTTAATCTTTTTTGTAACTTAGAGAAAGTGCTTGTGACAAATTTTCTTCCTTCAATCGCTATTGGGGGTATATCATAGCAAAGAATTTCTTTGAACCACACCACAAAAGGACGAAAGATAACCGATCAAAAATATTTTATGCCACATTTAAAAATAAACATACAATGGTGATTTCGAAATACTGAATTGTTTATTCTTTACAGGGTGTCAACATGTGTACATTTATCACATATTTTGGTCTGAAGCATGATTTTTTTTGTATTCAGCAAAAATAAAACTTTCTCTTTTTCTTCAAATCAGGACACCTTAATTCTAGTTTGTATATATATTATTCAAATCAAACTGTGAGTTAATACTAAAATGCGTTAATTTTGTGTATGAAATATGGAGATAACGAACAGTATTCAAGCTCAAAGTCCATTAAAACAATACAAATCGGGAGCAGAGCAAACACGGACCTCCAAATACAGAGGTGGGACCAGGTGCCATAGAGGAGCAAGCATCCCCAGCCGACCGGTCACACCTGCCGTGTGCTCTTTGTCATGATCGGTAAATAACGGAAAAATCCGTCGACAATTCAGTGTGTAAATAATGGCCTAAAAATTAGTATGAAAAACGTCAGTCAACATATGACTTGATGATAGATTGTATTTGCTGACAAGGTCATTGTATCTATCATATAACCTACAAAATGATGACTTTAAACGAGACTGCTGATTTTCTTGTTTCATTAACTTGTTTGTCAATAACTTACCACCTTTTAGAAATTTTTCATACGTAGAACATGCTCTTGCGTATCGAATCAACTGAGAGATACATGTATACACCCCATATGCAGGTGATAAGGGTATATTGCTGCATAAGTAAGGGAAGTTGACGATTGAAAGGTTAAAGTCATCACGTTTATCATATTTAGCTTTGTTGTTAGATTACCATTAACGTCTTTTTCAAGTAAAATATCCAAATATGAAACACATGTGTCAGACTCTGTGGTATCTTATCTCAAGCTCACTGGGATATATGAATAGAAATAACTATTGTTATTTAATAATGCGTCATCGATATATCTACTGTAAATTCCTTATTTTACGCGAGTACTTAATATCGCAAAGTGGCCCAAGGGCGTCAAACCGCGAGAACAATAATTCGCGAATGGGTGATTTATCTAGAGATTTTACATACTTTAAAGCACTATAAAAATAAAAGCGAGTAATTTTATTTCGCGAGTGGTGCTTCTCGCGTAATTACGCGATAATTTATTCCTCGCGTATATTTAGGAATCTACAGTATATGTCGAGTTGAAGGCCACAGCAGGAGTTTCCTTTTTCTCATGCATAAGATTTTAAATAAATTCTGCATTATATGAATACAATGCTAATAAGGGGGCGCAATTGGTACTCATGGGAATTCCAACAGGTTGTTGGAAGACCTGGTAACCAAAACCCAATTAGATATTGTCAATTAGAAACACAAGCATCTTTTAAATATCAACTTCAGAGTACTTGTGTGTACAATCAGAATGTTTTTAACAAAATAATTTTGCAAATGACCAAACATTGAGTTAATAATAATATACGTTTATTTTGTGTATACCGGTATAATATACACATTAAACTTTGAGTTAATACTAATATACTTTTATTCTGTATATAAAATATACACATCAAACGGTGAATTAATACTAATATACGTTAATTTTGTGTAAATAATATACACATGAAATTGTGAGTAATAGTGTTCTGACTTCCTCCTGTAAAGAATAAAGATCTCTTAAGAAAGAAGGCGATTATTTATATCCACGTGGAGTTAAATTCACGGTTTATAATTCTCTTATGTTGGCAACAAACTTAGGTGTGTGATAATCAGAAGGAAGTAATAATCTATAAGGCAATGTCAATAGTTAGAAAATCTCATATAGGAATTCCGAAGAAAAATAAAGATAAATGAATGGCGCGGGTATATAGAGATCTTCATTGAATCACACGATTAAAGTCTTTCTAAATTCCAATGATAAATGATCATGTTTTGCCCTTTTCTTCGTAGAGTGTATCAGTTAAGTTTAAGATTGCATCATCACTGGTATTTGATTTTACAAATAATGTAAAACGTGAAGATAACAAACAGTGATTGATCTCAACAAATCTGCAAACAGTATAAATCTGTGAACATGGCATAAAACACAGACCCTCGTAAATTCAGTCACACCCGCCTTGTGCCCTATGTATTGATCGGGTAAACGGAACATTCCGTGGTCAAATTCAGTATAAAAACAAAGGCCTAACAATTGATATGGAACACGTCAGCCAAAGTACGACCCAATGATAGGTTATATTTACTAACAAGGTCATTATAACGACCAAAGAATTAACTTAATGCTGGCTCTAAAAGACGTTGTTGAAATACCTGTAACATCAACTTAATCTGTCAGTAGCCTGCCTAATTTCTAAGTTTTAAAATTGATAGTACTGCAGGTGATACTGGAATATTACTATTGAAATAAGAAAGTTGACGATTTAAAACTTGAAATCGTCTCGTTTGTCATAAAAATTAGTTATTAGTATGCCCTTATCGTCTATAGTCAGTAAAACATCCAAATGTGAAAGGATTTATTTTATTTTTATTTTATTTCAAGTTCACTGGGATATATCGAGTCGACATATGAATAGAATTAACTATTATTAATTAATAAATCTGAAGGCCACAGCAAGTGTTTTCTTCTTCTCATGTAGAAATTTTTGAATAAAATCTGTATCATGGGAATACAAAAATAGGTCGGCTAGTAAAGGAGCACAATTAGTGCCCATCGAAATTCTAATAGTTTGTTAGAAAACCTCGCCTCTGAAGACTACATAGATATTGTCAATAAAGAACTCCAGCATCGTTTTAATATCACTTCAGAGTACTTGTGTGTAGAATCAGAGTGATTTTTGACAAAGGTAAATTTGTTGATGACCAATCTCTTCATAAGAAAATTTGCGAGTTCCATTTTTGTTGAAGAAGCAGTTTTCTATAATATCAAAAAGGCCTAGTTTTTTTAATTTATCGTGAAGAATGGTTGTACAAAGTGTAAAAAAAAAAAAGTCGTACGTTTTGTTGCTATTGAGTTTTGACAAATTAGGTGATTTTTAATTTTCTAAAAATTCTATGGAGTTTTTGAGAATCCACATCTGATTTCACCAATTCTAGAATATGCTGTAGCACAATATAAGATCACTTAATTTCCTTTCATTCATTTCATTGAAATTTTATTCTTATTTGTGAATAAAATATATTCATTTCATACTTTATATTAAACGTCTATGACACACTTTCTATGTTAAAATACACAGAAAAAATCATGATTTACATAAAAATAATAGGAATATTAGAATAATGGTCACTTACGCTTGGAGTTCTGCTGTATGAAAAACTAAGAAAATTAAAAGAATAGTAAAAATGGTTAACCGATTCATTTCGAAAAACGCCCCCAGCTGTTGCAAGATTTGTATTTATACTAGCAAATAAGGAAGTTTTTCCCCTTGTAGGATTCAGGTATCATATTTGAATCTGTCACGTAACTTAAAAAAATATACCCAATATATCCGAGGTATTTGATTCAATTTGATTTAATTTTTTTTATCCCTAACTGCCAAAGATATTTTAAAAAACCAATTTTCTTAATTAAACCATAATATTCAGTTAAAAATTTAATTTTTTTCGATAAAACCATAAAAAAAACAGTAATATAGAGTTTATCTGCATCTTTGTATATAATTTTTTTCTAAAGGCGACCTTTGAATTTTTCTCAAAATATTCCTGTACTATGTCTGCATGGATAATTTCTTTGGGTTCTAAAGTTCTACAAAAATCTGCAAATTCTACTCTAAATATTCAACCAGATGTCTATTTCTTTTAGGGATGTGGATTTTCAGCATCATCTTGTGTTTCGATTTGGATTTCATCATTTTTAGGTCGTTCCTGGAGATTATCCTCGTTTTCTTGTCTATTGTTTTGCTCCTTATTTCATAGCTGAACTTGATTTTGAACATATTGCGATTATTGTGTATCAAACTATTCTTCTCAATTTTTGGGTCATGATAGTGTTTTAATGGCCTGCATTCATAAATAACATAAATAAATTCAAAAATGTACATTTAAGCTTAAATAACTAGTGAGTTTTTTTTTAATCATCCTGGAAGAACTTTTAGAATTCATATTGAAACTTTGTCGATGAGTTAAGGTAGGTCCCGACAATTTCTTGGTTAATGTAATGTTTCTTTCTTCAAATAATTAGAATAACATTTTAGGTATTTAAAACGCCCGAAAATTCATTTTCCTAAACTAAATAAGATATGAACAGAAATGTAATATAGTATTTTTTATTATTATTGAATAGATGAACAAAATTATATTTTGAAATCATAAACTTCGGATTGTGAAGGATATTTTTTACTTTATCGTTACTTTCTTATTATATTCTTTTTTAAATAGTTTTTTACTAAATAAGACAAAATAAACAGGGCATTTTTTTTTTAAAGAAGTGTAAAAATGTTGGTCAATTTTTTGTCTATTATTATACGGCATCCGTAGCTTCAAATTCACATGGAAATCGTGCGTCATAGTAACTGTCCAATTTATTCACAATGCTTGTGAAGGTCGGTCTCTCCTCTGGTTTAATGGCCCAACAACTTTCCATCAGCGTCCCATGTCTGTAAATTTCAATAAATGTGCCATTTTTTCTCTCTGTTTTTTACAGTAGTAGCAGTTTTGAAGTTTTATAAACTTTATAAACATGTATAAAATAAATGACTGTCTCTGTACTTACGTTTCAGGACAGAATTCAGGAACGCCCATTCGGTAGCCACTTTTTACCTTCATAGGAACAACTTTCCCATCAATCCCTGGGTATGGATTCTGTCCTGTCCATGAAACGAGACAAATTTACAGATAAATATACAGTTACATTTAGTGTTACAATGTATACTGATGAGATTTTCACAACAATGCTCACCAGTACTGAATATTTCCCATATCACAACTCCAAACGCCCAAACGTCACTCATTGAAGTACAACTCTTCATGGATTCATAGCACTCTGGAGCCAGCCATTTTATCGGTTTCCTTTCCTGAAGGTTTAATTTATGACAAGAAATCAGTCTTTATTATTTCAAATTATGAATCAATTTGTAGTAAATATGAGAAGTTCTTTGCTTTCCTTATGATTGCTTCCTTTAGTTGTCAAAAGAGCACATAATCTACAATGAAAGCCATGTAAAGGATAGTTATGACAACCAAAAATAAGAGTATACCCTGGCTTCTTTTTTATTCACTTCATTTTCTCCCTCCTCGGGCGTGGGTCCAAATCCTGCTACTTTAGGAACAAGACGAGAAGTCAAAAGGATATTCCTTGTTGCCAATCTCTTGTGAACAATCTAAAATGAAGCAAAGTTTTAGCTCAAGACCATGCCACACATTTACTTGCGCCATAGAACTAAACTTAGGTTCATGTACTACTCCACTAAACCTATGCCAAATTGAAACAAAATATATTCAAACGTATTTTAATGTCAGTTTATTTCTAATATAGGATTTCAAGAATCTAAAGATATGACACTTATTGTAAACTTACCCCTTTGATGGCTAACGCTTCCATCCCTTTTGCGATTCCCTGAACCATCTTACAGAAGTCTGTAATCAGGTCATCGTTGACTTTATTTCTCTGATCTATCAACCACTCCCTCATTTGTCCAAGCTCACAATATTCCAACAGCATGTATGGACCAACTATTTGGGGGACATTAAAATGACTGTGTTCAAAAGGTTATTGTATATGATACTGAAATTAGATGCATCTCAGGTACATTCTTCCAGTCTTCTACCCAATCTGTTTTTATTGGATATATTTTACTACAATTCAAGTTTTTAGTGACAACCGATGATGTCGGGAAAAATTTTACAATACTATATAGGGGACGCTGAAATATCAGCATCTACATGTTTTATATGAGATAGGGATTTTCTTCCAGTATTCTACCCAATTTGTTTTGAAACGATTCTATTTAATAAAATTCGATTTTTGCTTAGCAACTTAATATAAAAACAGATGATGACGAGAAAAATAATACTATTAATGTGAATGTCATTCTTACACATTGGATGGTTGAGCACTGAACCCAAGAAAGTTATTATATTATCTTGAGGCGGAACCTCAGTGGCGAAGAAGCTGATCTTGGCTTGTAGAACAAGGCGGTCCTCCTCTGTGTAATCCTCTGTAACAACAATCGTCAATTATGAGAGTGTTCGATTACATATATACTTGTAATGCAACATCATTAAAAGTATGATCGTTTTCTGTGTGTTTGGAGGACATAATCAAGGATTAATTTCAATAAAGAGTTACAGAATTCTTATTTTATTTCCTTATTTTACACATCTGAATAATTATGCTACCATATAAAATACAATATTGTTTTTTTTTTCAAATAAGAAAAATACAATATTGTTTTTTAATAAGTGCAAATGGGTAAAGGTTATAAATATTGAAGGTAGAACATATCATATCCATATATTAGCTTATTATGGATTCTTGTTCTCTATTATAAAGGAGAAGAAGTGGGAAAACACAAAATTTTGACTCTGCCTGTCTGTATGTCTGTTAGTCACAAATATCTCAAGAGTGCATATTGTACCTGGAAATTATATTGAATTATATATTTTAACACCTTTTAGGATTTTGGCGACAACAGTGTCTTTTTTGCAGAGTTGCGCTAGATAGATATCAGCAAAGTCTCCGGATTTCAACTTTCCCTTCAGCTGTATATCGTCAAATGTGTATAACCAGCCTTCGTTAGCAGAGAAAACCATTTTACCAAAATCATAAATGTCCTCGTCTTGAAAACGTCCACTGTAAAAACCAGTCTGAAAGAGAAAATCTAAATTATCAATTTACACAAGCAGTCTCTTTAAATACATTTCATGGACCATTGGTAAATCACTTAAACCATTACAGTTTTGTCGAATTCATATTCTTACTTTTTTGATGGAATACTAATATATACATATAAAATAAATATTGATCTTGTCTCTTTTGAAGATTAACCTTTTAATTTTAGATTGTTGTTTGTGTCATTGTTGCTTAATTTAAAAAGTACTCATTGAAAACCTTTGAGAAAAGAACTTTTCATAGACATACCCTTCGTTTTCCCATCATTAAGGTGACTGGCCTCTTGAGATACATGGTCAACCTACGTTTTGTTTCGGGGTTTAAATGTCCATTTCTCCACAGGAGAAAAAAGATCAGAAGAATTCCCAGAAGAATTGCGATTACTGCAATACACAAGATATTTTATGGATAGATTCTGAATTTTGCACTATTTGTTGTGTTTGGTTTTGGGACGTGTTAAGGGAATGTTACATTACCTGCGCTTACTCCAGCAATCATGGCTATGGGTATGACGGTCGGTGTTTTAATAGTCCAGGAATTCACTACCACCTCTGACTTCCCTGTATTATTTGAAATCACCTCAATACAGTACTCTTTCCCTGCCTCAAGATTGTTCAAAACATATTCCGTTTTATCTATTGGTAGGGTTATCTCCTTTGGAGGTCTAGATCTATCACAATCGATGTAAATGAAGATAGTTATGTCCGAGACTTTGTAACATGACGGGACACTTTCCCACGTAAATCTGGCTCCACCTTCGTAACTCTCTCTTTGAAGATTTTTTATTCCAATACCTACAGAATAAATCAGAATACGCTGGAGGTTCTCTAAAGAGTATAACAAAGGGAACATGTATATCATTTCGAAGAAATCGTCTGTGTCATACGTGTGAGGCCTTGTTTTACAATGAAATTGTTTCTAGAATACTTCGAAACTCAGAAAATATGAAATTATATTGTCCATATTTTAGAATTGTTGGGTTGCAAAATACTAGTACATAGAAAATACATCGGATCCTTAAAAATCCTTTATTTGAACTTAGATGTATTTAAGTTTTAATTTTAGGCGTGTCAATATTTCTTCATATAGAATAAGTTGATTGTAGTGTCTAAGGTCGAAAAATAAAGATACTTTATACTCAGGTCAGAGAATAATTCTTACCGGCATCTATTCCATCAAAGGATGTCAAAGTGGAAAGCTAAAAATGAGAAATATTTTTGAATTTAATATTTTGTAACGTGCTACGTTAAAGGATTGCTTGTGCTAAATACGAAGAAGACACTTTTCCAATGCATGTTTTTTGTATGTAGAATATTCTATCTACAATGCATGAAAAAAATAATTTAATGGCAGATTTTCATAATCTTTAACAGACTCGATACCTCGTAACGTGTAACATTAGACGATATCATGGCCTGGTTGAAAGCTTCGATTTTCAGAATAAAGGTGACGTTGGACAACTGTTGTTTTTCAACGGCCAACCAACAATTGTCGAAGTCAAACTCCATGTTCTTTTTGTAGCATTCTCCCATGGGAATACAGTAACAATCATCACTGGTAGAACAGTCAGTCAGCTATAACACAATAAGCATAGATGTACATTACTGTTATAATTCAACAATGCTCTATACATTCCCATACAAGAACATTTCGTATGTACAGAAATCTAAGAATAAATAATGTTCAAACCTGAAGAGGGTTGTTCATGAAGTAACCTTCTTTATGTATCTGGTATTGTTTGTTCTTATCTAAAAGTCGCCAACGCACATGTCGAACACCACTGTGCTCATCAGAAGCTTGTATAAAAACCCTGTGGTACAACAACAAAATGACACTGAAACTCTTTAAGTTCCAATCTCTAAAACAAACGAGTTAATATACAAAGATTTAAGCAATGTATTTTGGTTAGTACCTGCTCGAATATTCATGTGTTCTATTTCCAATATTTTTTGTAAATATTGCTTCGCTTGAATGGGGTGGCGAACTGTCCATACTTACGAGTCTGGAATCAGTTCTTGTGTTGTTGACTAAATCACGAGCTCTTACAGTGATATTTATACTGTCACCGTCTTTCCATTCATGTTTAAGAACATATGTACCATGGGTAATATTTTGAATTTTAACCCACTGGTTTTCCATGTTGCCACGGTCTGTTTCAGACAGGCAAGGTGATATAGTTGTCATATAATTTGTTGTGGGTACAGTGATAGAGAAGTCTGTAATATTGTCGTTGTTGAATTCTGAAGTTGTTGTTCTTGCAGTGATATGGTCTTTAGAAGTGTTTGTTTCTGTGATACTGTCTGCTGCATCATTGGTCGATGAGTTTGAATATGAGATATACGTGTAGTAAACTTCAAATTCAGTTATTCCATGGAGATGTTTAACGGCGGAGACGCTTCTACTTCCATTATGATCATCATAAATGTCTTCCACGTCTTTTACTATCTCACTCTTCAGTTCTTCTACATCACCACCTCTTATCTGCAATGGGAACTTTTCGACAGACAATAAGAGGTGGTTTTCAACATGATATGAGTTTCTGAAGAAATCTTTCCACTTGACTTCCACGGTGGAACACCTTGATTGCCAACTGTAGTTGCTGACTTTTTCTGCACTGGAGACATAAAAGTTAGATTCTGCAGTTGTTGTGATTGTAGAATTAGGATCATATACAGCGATTTGTCTTGCAAACTCGGAGTTGTTAGCTTTATCTGTAACTTGTAAAATAGCTGAATAAACTCCTGGATCTGGTGGTGTAAACTCGAGGAAGGGTAAACTAGAGGAGTTTTTCTCTTCGCGATAAAGCGGGTTCATTGGTGCTTCTTCAGTTAATGTATCAGAATGAGGGTTTTTCTTTAGCTTGTGAATTTCCAGGAAGTATTTTTCGACCCCTGAGGGAATGTCATCCCACCCATCAACCTCGAATGCGAGTGGATCCTAATAAAATATACATAATATATGTTTCCGGCTAATCGTAATTTTATGTCATATAGTAATTAAAATATTTGTAGATTCCCTAATGCTACCGAGAAATGATTCTTTTTTTTTTCACTGAAAGAAATCTTGAGTCAATTGGGTTTAATACTTTGCATGTATGGTGCAATTTGAATGCACATACATTGTCAAATTTTCAAATGTACATTGAGCTATGGATAAGAATACGTTAGTTTTGTACTTGTACAGAGTGTTGTCCAGTCTTTGTGTAAATAATCTGTACTTTGAAAATACATGTATAATTGTAACAGCATTGATTCACTTACCTTGGTAGCATCTTTTGGAATTCTAAGCGGTAACAGTTCGGACAGAGTACAATTATTTGATTCGGAACAATGTCTAGGTTTAGTAAAGTCAAACATAAAGTTTATAGATTGTTGAGATTTTACTCGATCATAAAGTTCCTTTTTGACAAAATGTGTGCTGTTCCACAAATCTCTAAAGCCCCCTATCTCTGCCAGGGCCAGTATTGTTAGTCTAAAAATAGACAATAATAAAGGAAAATAATCTTTCGTGAAGATGCGTCGCAAAACAGAAAAGAATGTGGTTTCACTTACTTATCACCGTCTTCAATGATCCTGTTGAACTGATCATATGAAATATTGCATTTTAGCAGCTGATTATATGGTGACGTATCATTAAAATTTCCAGGACATACTAAGGTCTCATTCAAAACAAGATCAGTCGTTCCGCCTACAAACACGTGATTAAATGTGAATATCAAAGTATATACGTAAAAGAGCAACATTCACGGTATCATTGCTAAAACACTGTAGGTCATATAGACATCTGCAATCGTTTATAGCAACAATAACATAGTGAGAGTTTTCTCAACAATAATAAATACATAAACTTTTAAATAAAATTGATGCAAAGACACAACATTTAAATAAAATTTGCTTAAAGCTTCAAATTAAAATAACTTATAATGGTAAGTACCACCCGCTCTGCCTATTTTGGCAAGAGTGACTCTTGCATTTGCAGATACAATTCCAATGCTATGATTGTGAATGTAAGATGGTGGAAATGGAATGTAGGGATTATAAAGGGCATCAAAGTGAATCAAAAAAAAGTTGTAGTCCTTCCGGTCCACCCATAATGACTGAAATGTGCTGAAGCCGTCTGCGATAAAGTCGTATAATAAACGATTGTCTGTTCTCTTCACATTCATTAATTTTGCATTCAGGCTGGTAAAGTTTACTTGATGGGTAGAATGAACTGAAAGAAGAAAAACATTAGAGATGTAGATTTTAGTTATTTGTAATTTTGTGATCTATCAATCCTTTTATAAATAACATTGCCATTAGCAAGAAATGCACACTGACGCTGGAGACAGGATTGTCCTCCGAATCCCTGATCACAGGAACAGGAAGTATTGGTGCAGGTACCCGGATAACAGGGCTTCAAATGGGAACAAGTAACGGCTAAAATAAAACAAAATATCTCAGCAATTTTGCAATATTATTAGATGAACGTTCACTTAAGGATGAGTATGCAAATAAGAAACCAACAGAAAGGCCCAGTTCTTACAATTTTCTTCTACATTTATATAAGTGTGTTGTGTTCGATTTTCTTGAAGCTTGTGTTTTCTTTCTTGAAGCTTGTGGTGGCTCAAAGTGGTTGCTCAAAATGGCTTAAAGTTATCCATCTTACATTCATTAACTTAGTGATGAAAAATTTTTATTAGTTGTAAAAAATAAAAAGAAGGTAAATACCCCTTTCACATGTACTTCCGCCAACTATTTTTAGACACTCGCACGTGTTGGGAGACACACAACTTCCTCCGTTTTGACAAGGAGGATTGCATATTGCTGTAAATAATCCTTGTATATGAAAATGGAAAATACAAAATAATGTAAATACATAAACAAGAATCTATTTTATACTTACCTGTCTGACAGTCAGTACCGATGTATCCTGGACAACAGATTTCAGTAGTTTTGTATTTAGTTAAACGTCTGTATCCTCTTGAAGTGCTGCGTCAAAGTTTAAATAAAACTGATTTTAAGTAAAATGAAGCAAGACCACTACTTAACAAATAATCATATACATAAAAGGGAAATACAAGAGAATACATGCATAATTAAAAAAACCTACTAAGATGTTTCATTTCCATCATTCTTTGGAACCGCATGTATTTTATCAGCTCTTTAAAGTATGAAGTATCTTGGTCCAAAAAGAAATATTTTTAACTCAAAGTATAACTATACTATATAGTATACCAATATCAAAATAAGTATAACTATACTATATAGTATACCAATATCAAAATAAGTATAACTATACTATATAGTATACCAATATCAAAATTAGATTAGGTGGGATACTTTCAAAATGCATATTCTTGATTGCTCAAAACTTTTAAAATCTTTATTTTTTAGAAAAAAAATAACAAACTTTTTTCTATTTTCTGTTTGCTATTTTATCAGGGATATTAATCACAGAAGCATCTATAGCTTGCCTTTAAAATATAAAAAACAAGATGTGTTTGTGAAACACTGATGCCCCCGTATGGCAGCTTATGGCGAAGGTTAAAGTTCCTCAAATGCAAGTCAAAATCCAGGCCAAAAGATAAAAAATGTTGATACCCAAAGAAAGGTCTTGTCTCGAGGAATACACCTGTGAAATTTGAAAGACCTAGATACAACTGTTCAAAAGTTATGGCGAAGGTTAAAGTTTTTTAAATAAAAGTCAAACGTCAAGGTCAAGGTCAAAGTGGTTGGTATCCAAAGGAAGGTGATGTCACAAGGATTACATATGTGAAGTATGAAAGCCCTAGCACCAACCATTCAAAAGTTATGGCCAAGGTTAAAGTTTTTCAAAAGTAGGTCAAACTCCTATGTCAAGGTCAAAGGGTCAAAGTGGTTGGTATTCAAAGGAAGATCTTGTCACAAGGATTACATAAGTGAAGTATGAAAGCCCTAGCATCAACCATTCAAAAGTTATGGCCAAGGTTAAACTTGTTGCAAGGAATACACATGTGAAGTTTGAAACCCTAAGCACCAACTGTTCAAAAGTTATGGCCAAGGTAAAAGTTTTTCAAAAGTAGGTCAAAGTCCAAGGTCAAGGTCAAAAGGTCAAAGTTGTTGGTATCCAAAGGAAGGCCTTGTCACAAAGAATACACATGTGAAGTTTGAAACCCCAAGCACCAACTGTTCAGAAGTTATGGCCAAGGTTAAAGTCTCATAAAATTTTGCAAAAGTGGGTCAAACTCCAAGGTCAAAAGGTCAAATATGATGGTACCCAAAGAAAGGTCTTGTCACAAGGAATACACATGTGAAATATGAAAGTCATAGCTCCAACCAATCAAAAGTTATGGGCAAGGTTAAAGTTGACAACAGACAGACAGACAAACGGACAAACAGATAAACAGACAGACAGGACAAAAACAATATACCCCCGGGATCTTTCGATCCGGGGGCATAAAAATAATCGACAAAATACCAGCGTACATGACACTATGCTATAAGCTATCTAACTGCCTCATTACTTCAGTTCATAATTACTCTCTCTCTCTCTCTCTCTCTCTCTCTCTCTCTCTCTCTCTCTCGATCTGTGTGTGTGTGTGTGTGTGTGTGTGTGTGTTCTATCACTTACCACCACCACATAAACGTTGAAGCACAGTACTGTTGGGCAGCGTAATATATCGACTGCTTAGTACATTTCTTCCTGTGGAAAATAAGAATTTAACTAATAAAACATTCTTAACAGAGTACACATAAATCTTTTTAATAGTTGACGATGTCTTAAATTTCTATGAAAGAAGATATTTAACAAGTTTCCTGGGCAAATTGTGCTCTTCCCTATTCCTCTGTCAAAAAAGAGCAATTCGATGTTATTGATACACCACCAATTTGCTATCTTTATGTAAATTTCCACCTAAAAACTTTAAATCCATAAATAAATGATATCTCTTTCACTTCTAAACGCGATCTAGAGTGTACAAGATGATGCCTTCCTAGTTTTAGGGAAATTTAAAACCTGAAACCTGTTCGTTTTACCCTCAAGGGCATTTTCGCAAAAGAAAGAAATGGCAGTGCTGTTTGTGTCCTCAAGAGATTATTTCAATAAGAGCTTAAAGCCATTATCAAATCGTTATAGGCCATTATTTTCACTCTGAATTGTCTATAGATTGCTCCCTTTGTTCGATCATGACAAGGAGCGTATGTGACCGGTCGAGAGGGAATGCTTACTCCTCCATGGCACCTGATCACACCTCTGATATTTTTTAGAGGCCCGTCTTTGCTCTGCTCCAATATGTATTGTTTAAGTGGACTTTTGAGCTTGATCACTTTCGCCATCTCCATATTTTAGTGATAGAGAAAGTTTTACCAAGGATCAAATAAGTGACGTAATTATTCAAAGGGCCATATAATCCATTTCTAAATCAACGTTATACCACTTAAAATAGAAGACGGGGTGTATATTTTTGTGCCATCTGTCCGGTTTTTTTCTGTTTTTCTGACTGCAAAAACCTCAACATTTGGTTTTAATTGTAGGTAATTTCTCAAAATTTCAGAATTTAATCTTGAAATGCGGCTTATTCAATTAGTTTAATCAATTTCCTCACAATTTAGAAATATTTCCGTTGGATTTATCCCTCTCCTGTTTACAAAGATAACGGTATTTAAAAAGAGTGAAAAAAATTGCATAAAAATATTATTTTCCTATCAAGGATACCAGAAATTTGATCACACCTATAAGCTTACTGTCGCAATTTTTTCCACATGTCTTGTATACAATATAAGGAGGAAATTGTATAGCATCAGGAATGAATAGGCACTGGTTAATAAATTGCTATAGTCCATATACCTTAATTATTTGAAGACAGGAAGACTCTTACATATCTTTTAGAAAATATAAGTAATCTTCCTCCGCTTTGTTTTACAAAAGTTTGTCAAAATTTAATTTAATTCATAATTTGAGTCTGATAAAGAAATTGATTCACTTTATTTTTGCTCATGAAGTGTCAATAAGGTGAACTACAAGTATATACAGTTCTAATATTTAACCTTTTATTAATTAAGGAAGGTGTTATTTTACCAAATGAATGTATAAACATCAAAAATTTTAATAAAGATTTTTTTTTACTTTAAATTAAAAACATATAATTTTAAAAAAAAATATTTTATCAACACAAAACTGTGAAATATTACGTTAATTACGTGAAGTAAGTACATGTTAAATCCAGGGAATCTTAAGTACAGGTATATGGAGATCACATATTAATATGTACCATTGAAATAAAATTATAATCTCAATTCTGTAATCAAAATTAAGGAAGAAAATTCTTTACAGTTTGTCAATCCTTTGTGTTGAAATGAAATGAATAAAAAGTTGGAATGCAAAAACGGGCATTGTATTATATTTCTTAAATTAGATATTTGTTATATCTTTTTAAGTATTAAGGTCATTTACGGAAATTTTTGTTGGATTTTTCACAATTATTCCGTCGGTGAACGGGATTACGGGTGCAATTTGTGCTTCGACTCCTATCAAAAATTTCAGTCCCTTTCCTTATTTTCAGGTTTATCGTCACAAACCATGGGTTTTAATACTCTATCGCTCCAAAATACAAGGATTGTACGGGTAATGACAGAATATTTACATCCAATAAAAATTTCCTTATTAATTCACCGAAAAAAAAACGAAGTTCTCTTCATGTACTAAGTAAGTAAATTACCACATCTAAGATATAATCTTAGATTTAATAGATCAAAATTGTGCAACCGTGAGGCCCGTGGTTTCTAGTGGGAGGGGGGTCCAAGGTAATTACTATTACCTTAAAATTTAATAACTCTGAAAATACCCAGGGGAGGAGGTGTCCAGAACCCCCCTCCTCCAGATCCTCGCACGTAACCCATATAACGACTTTACATATAATTAAATTATTCTATTTAAAGATATTTAAACATATTTAAATTGTACAGTCGATATGAAGTCATGTTTCGAAAATATACTAAGATATTATATTTGATATCTTCATTCCAAACAACGTAATATAAAGAAGCTCCATACAGTACATCTACAATTAATTCTGAAAATGATTTCCGTCTTACTGACATATTACGGGTAAAATGAATTACTTTTTCCAGTTTTAAAAACACTCATTTAAAAAACAATTCTAACAATAAAATGTTATCGTTAAATCAGCTGAATAGAAAAAGGGGGAAATCTTTGGCAGATAATTCGTGATTCGTATTAAGAAATTTAATGTGTAAGGTGAGGTAGATAAGAATAAATGCTTTACTTATTTTATACCTCATTTTATTTTTTGTGAAGTGAAATCACGATGCAAACAAAAATGATCCGTTTGTCAGAAAGACATTCTCATAAAATTCACTAATGGCACTTACCTCTTATTAGAGAAATACCGGCATCTTACGAACGAAAGTAACAAAACAATTCAAAATTAAGGGATCGTTTATTGTATTCACTGTTTGATTTCAATCGATAATATTCCCACAAGATACCTCAAAACTGCTTCTTGTCAAAGTCGCTACCGTGAGTCTAGAATACAATTCAGTGGACATTTAATCCTAACAAGGTTACAAAAACATCTTATTTTGAAGTATTCAGTTACTGATTCTGTCTGAAGGAAAGAATGGCAAGGAAAAAGTAAAAAATAAACATAAATTTCTCTCTGCTGTCATTACTTGTTTAATGCAAAATTTGCAGATTTTTTTTTTGAAAATCCATATTTTCATAAAGATGAATTAGGTGGCGTTACAATTATTACAGAGTAGTATGAAAAATAATAATCCCTAAACCTCGATCATTATATATACAATACAGTTTTAGCATATATGCCACAACCCCACCCCATCTCCCTTTTCTGGACACTTCGTTAAAAATGACGTGTTCACAGAGTGGTAGATTCGTTGACCAGACAAGAGGAAAACAGGATGTTCCCAATTACTTAAAAGTATTTCAACATTATTTCAATAAAATAAGAATTTCTCACTTCTGAAATTTCTGAAAGTTTTCATTTCAGTTTTCTTATTTTTTCCAAATTCATCTTGGTTAAGAATTAAAAATTTGAAATGAAAAATATAGGAAAACTGTTCTTTTTCATTGCTTCTCTTTATAAAAGAAAAAAAACTTGAATTAGATTTATAAAGCATCAATAAAATAATGACTTACGCTTCATGTTCAGCTGTTTGTAGAAAGATAAGAATAACAAGATGAACCAACAGTGTTGCCAATATAGTTGACCTATCCATTTCCAAAAACTTCCACCAACCGGTGTAGATTTTCGTTTATATAGTACCGATCAAGGAAGTTTTTCTGTCAATTCCAGGTCATAGTTAATCTTTTTTCTTTGCTTTTGAATATTTTTTTAACAAAACATAGACACGAAGTGACCTGATATTGTGATGTGCATCCAGGATACCTAATTTTTACTTCGTATTAAGATTTTTTACATGTACATCCATTCATTATCTCATATGTGCTATGAAGGTCGGAAGGGTGTAACCGTGCTTTTGGACTTTGCTACAATTCTATAAGTTAAAGACAAACCACCAGTTAGTTTGTGGAAATTATAGTCATTGCTTCTGAGGTAGACGCTAATATTCATTAATTAATTTTTGTTTTTATACGCGCACTTTCTAAAGAAAGTCAGGTTATATTGTTGCTACCCTGGTCCGTCCCTCTGTCATACTTTCTTCTTCCTCAAACTCCTCTTTTATTTTAAGCAATAACCAATTAATCTTTTGGAATATGATAGGTGGTGTCCTGTAGGAAAATAATAAGATTGTGGAAACTTCAATTTTCTCCTGTAGGAAAACGGAGGTCAAAAAATGATATTTTTTTTCTGAGGAAAAAAATTCCGGTTTCCAGAACTCCTCATACATTTTACGCGGTAGCCTATTCATTTTTTTGGTGAGATGATCAGTGGTGTCCTGTAGAAGTGCAAGAGGGTTTCGTAAATTTCATTTTCACCCTTGGGGCCACAAAGGGGTTGAAAATGACATTTTTCTATAAAAAAAAATCTGGTTCTCAAAACTCCTCTACATTTTATGCATTATTCAATCATCTTTTGGAAGATGACTTCTGGTGTCCTGTACATGAGCAATAAAGTTTCGGAATTTTCATTTTCATTCTGGGGGCAAAATTTGGGGTCAAAAAACGACTTTTTTTCTATAAAAAAGACCCTGGTTTCCAGATCTCCTCTTACAATTTATGCAGTAGCCAAATGATCTTTTGGACGTTGATTAGTTGTGTTCTGAAGATGTGCAATAAGGTTTCGAAATTTTCATTTTCACCCATGGACCATAAAAGGGTTGAATTTTTTTATTCAAAACAATCCTGGTTCCCAGAACTCCTCTTACACTTTCAAAGTAGCCAAATCATCTTTTGGAAGGAGACTGTTGGTGTCCTGTAAATGTTGCAATATGGTTTTGGAATTTTCATTTTCGCCAATTGGGCTTGAAAACTATGAACAAACACCTGGTGCTCAGTGTTTTGTGTCATGTGCAACAAGAATATACCGGTATTTGATCTAAGGGTGGAATCTCAATTCCTTATGCTCACATGTTCTAAGGAAAATTCGGCTATATTGTTGTTATCCTGATCCATCAGTCCGTCCATAACACTTTCTTCTTCCACAAACACCTCTTACAATTTTATCAGTAACAAATTCATCTTTTGGAATATGACAGTTGGTGTCTTGTAGATGTGCAATAAGGTCTTGGAATTTTCATTTTCACCCTAGGAGTCAAATTGTGTCGATTTTTCTAAACAGAAACCCGATTCCCAGAACTCCTCATACATTTTACTCAGTCGCCAAATCATCGTTTGGAAGGTAATTGGTGGTGTTCTGTAGGAATTTTCCAAGGAGGTGGTAGTTGAGGAAAATAATGACAGGAAAACAAATACATTTTGAATTGGAGATAAAGGTATATTTGGTTGATTCCAAATTCACTTAAGGTCATCAGGGTAAGTTAACCCTCCCCCCCAATACACACACACAAATAAAACATCCTGATATAAGTTTGAATTCATGTAATTCATTTTCGAAAATCGATTCCATGTCTAAAATTTGGTTGTATCGTTTTGAAATTAGATGTAGATTAATGACAATATTATGACTTATAACGAACAGAGATCGTTCTCAAAAAATAAATTTTTATTACAAATTACTAAATACTGAGGGTTGGGATAGAGAAAGCGGAAATTTATTATTAGAGACAGTACAATGTAAATTAGATGAGGGTGACGTAAACATGCTTGACAGCGATATAACTGATCACAAGATCTACAAAGCAGTTATGTCATTAAAACCAAATAAATCACCAGGGGAAGATGGAATATTGTCAACTTTTTATCAATTATATTGGGATACAATTAAAATTGAATTTTCAAAAGTAATAAAATATATTTTTCAAAAGGCTATACTCTGTGACTCGCAAACTAAAGGAGTAATTTCATTAATACATAAAGGGAATGAAAGAGAAGATGTAAAAAATTGGAGACCTTTAACTATGCTTAACAACGATTATAAAATTATTGCTAAGATACTCTCTGAGAGGTTAAAGGTTGTATTGCCAAAATTAATTCACCCAGATCAAAAAGGGTTTGTTAAGGGTAGAAATATAAGTGATGCAAATAGATTAATTCAAGACATAATCGATTATGCAGAAAAAGAAGATTTAGAGGGGGCAATAATATTTCTGGATCAACAGAAAGCCTTTGATAGGATAGAATGGGGGTGGATAGAAGCCACATTACAGAGATTTAACTTTGGTGAAAAATACTGTAAATGGATAAAAATGCTTCTAATAAAATCAAAAACTTGCATTAAAACAAATGGATTTGTATCAAAATACTTTTCAATATCAAGATCAGCAAGGCAAGGTTGCCCTATAGCTCCTCTACTTTACGTGCTTCAAATAGAGCCTATGGCTTGTGCAATCAGACAAAACCCTCAGATAAAGGGCATCTTAATTCCTGGAAAAGATCAACATATAGAGTGTAAAATAAATATGTTCGCCGATGACACACAGCTATTTAATAAAGATGAAGAATCTATAATAAATTCCTTTAATATTTTAGAAGTATATGAAAGAGCTTCAGGGGCAAAAATCAACTTTTTAAAAGCTAAAGGGTTGTTTATTGGAAAATCAAAGGGTAAAATACCAAAATTTAAAAAAATTCAATGGATAAAAACTAACATAAAAACTTTAGGGGTACATCATGGATATAATATCGATACTTGTGCAATATGGTTGGAAAAAATAGAAAAAAATTATGAACAGTTTGCATGTCTGGAAAACTAGAGACCTTACATTTAAAGGGAAAACTTTGATAATAAAGAATTTGATAATTCCAATTATTGGTTATGAAATAGAAATGAGAGGAATACCAGATATTTATGCCAAACAAATAAACGACATTATTTGGTCTTTTATTTGGGATAATAAATTGAATAAAATAGACAGAAATGTGTGCTGCTTAAGCAAGCATGAAGGAGGAATGAATATGACAAATATATTTAATTTTATAAAAAGTAAACAAATAAAAACAATTTATAAAATTATGCATTCAAAGTTAGAAACATGGAATGCAATTGGTAAATACTGGTTACAGAGTAAAGATATGCATCCAAATCAAGAATATTACTTATGCACTTGTTCGGATTTATCTCAAATTTCCTTAAATAAAATGTCTAGTTTTTATAAAAAAGCACTTATCGCATATAGCGAATTTCAGTCAAAATTTGAGCCAGAGAGTCGGGAAGAAATACTCAATCTCTCTCTGTTCGGTAATAAACTTATACAATTTAATGGGAAAGCCCTATATGTTGAGTCATTTATTAAAAGTGGTTTTTTAAAAATTAAAGACATTTGGAATGATGAGAAAAACTGTTTTAAATACAATGACACTATTTTTAATGAATTATTAGACAAAAGATGCTGGATTTTTGAATATAGTAAAATAAAAGCAGCCATTCCTAAATCTTTTTATCAAATAATGAAAAGAAACAACTTAATATCCAACAACGAAACAAAACTCCCTTATAAATTGAATAATAATTTACTCATTCAAAGAGGTGCTAATAAAGTGGTAAATAATGACGATCTCAAGTTAAAAAACATAGAAAAAATATTAAACAAGAAAAAAATTCCAAAAAGTCAAGAAAAATGGGAAAAAATATATCAAAATAACATACAGTGGAATTTAGTTTGGGAGAGTATTTCAAGAGTAAAAGTAAAAAATAAAATTCAAGAATTCCAGTGGAAAAGTGTGCATAATATATTGTATACTGAGGATAAATTAAGTAAAATCGGACTTTCTAATGGTTTATGCAACTTGTGTAAAAACCATAGGGAAAATCAACAACACCTCTTTTTTCATTGCACAAAAGTTAAACCAACACTTAAGTTAGTAGAAGACATAATTAAAAATGTGTTACAACTGAAGGATTTTTTATCAGTTGATGAGCAAACAATAATATTAGGGTACTTGAAGGAACCGCAAATTCCAAGAACTTTTGTTAATACCTTAATATATATTTATAAATGGGTCATATGGAAAACAAGAAATAAAGTTAAATATGAGAATCTAAAAGTAAATGACTCAAGTATTAAAACTGCTTTTAAAAATGAAATGAAATCAAATTTCCTATTACAATCACATGATTTTACGAATTTTCAGGAGAAAATGAAGCATATTTTTCAAAATCCTATGTATTTTTAATACTAGTAAAAGTCAATATCTGTAGACACACTTACTACACTAGTTACTGTTTAGGTTACTTTAATTTGCTTGTGTCATTTTTTTTCACACACAATAGTAATTGGAAACTTTATGATTAAAATAATTTTAGTATGAATGTTAAGTTCATTGTTTTTCCCAGTAAAATGTAATGTGAAAAAATTATACATATATTCAGAAAATTTGTTTTGCTTTTTGTTTTTCTTCCTCTTTTTTTCTAAATTATTGTTTTTGTTGAGCATTATAACATAAAAAGACCCGTATTGGAGGGTGACCTGGCCCTCGATACTGGTTACAGCGGGAATGATGGACTCATTTTCTTTTTTTAATTAGAAATTCCCACTGTAACAAGGGTCATGTTTGAATATGTGTATGTGATATTACTATTGTTATAAAAAAAAATTTTTAAACAATCAATTACATATGTATAAAATTTCCTTTTTTCCAAATGTTTCTTCATTTTCTGAGGTTTATGTATCTCTTACTGTGTATTGTGCATATATAC